TTTTTTATAGATGGACAGATTCCATTAATTACAGATTTACAAGAAAGGATTAAGGAACGATATCAAATAAGTGATTGTAGAATTAGTTTAACGGCTGGAAAAGCTTCAGACATAGATGCTGTTGGTAACGTAGGTGCCCAGATTCTCTATAATATAATCTCTAACGAACAAGCAACAATTATTGGACTTAGCAATGGTAGAACAATAGCTTCAGTTGTTGATGCTTTGCCTGAAATTCATAATAAGAAAAAAATTAAAGTTGTCTCTCTTTCAGGTGGAGTATCACATAGTGTGTTAGCAAATCCTTTTGACATTATTTATAGGATTTGTAAGAAGATTAATGTGGAAGGATATTTTATGCTTGCTCCTTTCTTTTGTGATACTGAAGAACATCGAGATACAATTATTTCTCAACAATCTATGAAAGAAGTATTCAATACAGCAATTAAGGCAGAAATAAAATTTATGGGGATATGTGCAATAAATCAGGACTCCTTCTTATATCAGTCAAAGCTAATATCAGAAGAAGAATATACTATTTTAAAGAAGAAAAAAGCTGTTGTAGAAATTTTAGGTAATTTTCTAAATATTGATGGAGAAGTCATACAATGTAATTTATCTGATAGAGCCATAGGCTTTTCATTTAATAATCTTAACCTAAGTAAAAATTATATTGTAGCAGCTGGTGAAAGCAAAGTTGATGCGTTGCATGCAGTTTTATGCACAGGGGAAATTTACGGCATTATAATTGATGAAAAATTAGCTAATAAACTTGTTGAAATCTTTTAATTTAAGTGAATAGGAGGTAGTTAAATTGATGAATTAAAATACTAGTATATTTGGTATTTAAGATAGCCAATTAGTTATGGACTAATTGGAATATGGTTTTATGTTAATTCTTTTTCAAGGAGATTCTATGAAAAAAATCTATAATTATATTTCTTTAATATGTATCTTTGCATTCCTGTTCTCTTCTGTGTCTATATTTGCTGAAGACAAGTCAGAAAAATCAGAGGTATTTTCATCAGGAACGGGCGATTTTGTTTTGAATAAGACAATTTCAAAGCGTATGGATGCAGGGGAGACTCCTGTGATTAGAGTATCGTATTTTAATACAAGTCTTGAATTTGCCCAGAAGATTAAAGAAGGTGTGGATCAAGCAGCAAAAGATTTTCAGGTTGATGCTCGTCTGGTTGGTCCTGCTGATGGGTCAGTTTCAGTTCAAATTGCTGAAATTGAGTCATTGATGGTCAAGGGAATAGATGGTTTAGCAGTTACAGCATCTGATCCAGAAGCGATTGGAACAGTAATTGATCGTGCTATATTTGATGGTATTCCAGTTGTAACATTTAATTCTGATCAGCCAACATCTCAGCGCTTGGCTTTTTATGGTCAAGATTTGTACAAATCAGGAGCTAAGGCTGCCAAAGAAATGGTTAAACGCCTTGTTAAAGGGAAAATACTAATTTTTTCTCTTGATGCAGGAGCAGGTTGGTCTGTTTTACGAGAGAATGGGTTTAGGGATGTAATAAAAAAACATCCTGATTTGATAATCCAAAATATGATTAATGCGGGTTCAGAGAATGCAGCACAATATGCCGCTGTTGAGAATGCCATGCTTGCTAATCAAGATATACAAGGCATATACACAGTTGACTGTTGTACTACCCCTTCAGTTGGTAAATGGATTCTTAGAAATGAACAAAGTGGTAAAATTGTTCACACTGGTTTTGATCTTACTGATGAGACATTAGAATTAATTGAATCTGGTGCAATAACAGTTAGTCTCGGACAAGACCCATTTGCTCAAGGGTACCGTAGTGTTGAAGGTTTGGTAAAATTTCTTCGAGAAGGGAAAATGCCTGTAGATACAAATACAGGAGTAGAAGTCGTAGATGCTACTAATATTGGGAACTATTTAAAATAATTTCAAAGTTCCCCATTCATTTATGGAAAATATATTATGAGTAAAATAGTTCTGGAAATAAGAAATATCTCGAAACGATTTATAGGTACACAGGCACTATCAAATGTATCCTTTGCTATAGAGAAAGGCACTGTACATGCGGTAATAGGTGAAAATGGAGCAGGTAAATCAACTCTAATGAATATAGTTGGAGGTGAAATTCAACAAGATTTTGGTGAAACCATTCTTAATGGGGAAGTAGTTAATATTTCATCTCCAATTGTAGCCCGTTCCATGGGAATTGCGATGGTTTATCAAGAGATAAACCTTGTTCCAAATCTGTCAATAGCAGAAAATATTTTCCTTGGACATAAAGAGATGTACAGGTTTAATTGTTTTGTAAATCGTAAGAAGTTAATAGACAAAGCTTCAGAATTTGCTTTAAAAGTTGGACTTCTTGTATCGGTCACTACTCATGTATTAAAGCTGTCAACTGCAGAAAAACAATTAGTTGAAATAGTTAGAGCAATCGCTTTAGATTGTGAAGTTATCATCATGGATGAACCTAATTCTGGGTTGACTCCAAATGAGAGTGAACGAATGTTTGAGATTATTGAAACATTACGTAATGAAGGAACTACGATAATATATGTTTCCCATAAATTAGATGAAGTACTGCGAATTAGTGATAGAATAACAATTCTACGAGACGGTTTTCATATCGAGACTCTCAAAAAGTCAGTTGCAACTGAAAAGCAATTAATTACTGGCATGGTTGGGAGAGAAGTTGAAATAAATGAGATTGATAAGAAAGAAATAAATTTAGAAACACCAGTTGTTTTAAAAACTGAGAATTTGAGTTTAGGTAATGTTGTAAAAAATGTAACTATTAGCTTACAGAAAGGAGAGATTCTAGGTCTAGCTGGTCTTCCAGGAGCAGGTCGGGAAGAGTTTCTTCGTACGATTTATGGATTACATAAAAAAACATCTGGAAATGTTTATATTGATGGTGAAATTGTTTCTCTAATTTCACCTAATAAAATGATAAAAAAAGGACTTGGTTTTTCAGGTGCAGATAGACGTGCAGAAAGTATTATTCCTGAAATGAGTGTTGGTAATAATATTGTTATAGGAAACTTAAAAAAAGTTAATTATCTTGGCTGGCTTAAGCAAACAAAAAAGAACAAGTATGTAAAAAAATATATTAATAGATTTAAAATAAAAACATCTGGAATAGAAAATCAAATAAAAAAACTTTCTGGTGGAAATCAGCAAAAAGCAGTTTTAGCACGGTGGAATTATTCGGATTGTCGTGTCATGTTGCTAGAAGAGCCAACTCGTGGAATTGATATTGCCGCAAAGAATGAGATTTACACTTTAATTGGAGAATTTTCAAAAAGAGATATAAGCATAATAATTCTATCATCTGAACTTCCTGAACTCGTAGCAATTTGCCATAGAGTTGTTGTCTTCAATCAGGGGGGAATCAGTGGAATAGTTGAAGGTCAAGAAATTTCTCAAGAGAGAATAATGTCTTTGGCTGTGGAACCAAGGGGGAAAATGAATCAATGGAATATAGGATGAATTTATAAATGAAGATATCTTTTCATCATGTTAAGAAATTATATTATTCTCGAGAATTTGGAGTTTTTTTAGCGCTCATTTTTCTTTTTTGCATATTAAGTTTCCTTTCACCTGTATTTCTTCAGGGTAGAAACTTGTTGAATGTAGGGCGTCAGATTGCTTTTACAGGAATTATTGCTGTTGGTATGACATTTGTTATTATTAACAGAGAAATCGACTTGTCTGTAGGATCCATCTTTGCTTTGGGAGGGATTGTTACAGGAAAATTTTTATTATTAGGACTGAGTCTACCATTGGCATTGTTAGCAGGTTTACTAGTTGGAGGACTAATTGGAGCATTAAATGGGCTGTTGTCTACTTATGGTAAGCTACCTTCATTTATTGTAACTCTAGGTATGCTTAGTGTCACACGAGGAACAGCTTTGCTTATTTCTAATGGATATCCTGTTACTCTCAATGAAAGATCTTTAAATGAAATTTCTCTGAGAACTTTCTCTGTACTTGGTCAAGGTCGTTTGTTTAATATATTTCCAATGCAGTTGGTCTTGTTCATTATAGTATCTGTTCTTGGTGGAATATTGTTAAAATATACAGTATTTGGTTTTAATTCTTATGCTACAGGTGGAAATAGAAAAGCTGCTATTGCCTCAGGTGTAAGAGTAAATAGAGTAGTATTATTGAGTTTCATTATGGTAGGAGTGTTAAGTTCTTTTGCTGGGATTTTAAATCTTAGTTTTCTACAGAACATACAAGCTAATGCAGGTGTTGGCATGGAGCTTGATGTTATTGCAGCAGTCATTATTGGAGGTACAAGTTTATTTGGAGGATTAGGCTCAATTGTTGGTACTGTAATAGGAGTTCTATTGATAGGTTTATTAAGAAATGGATTAGTTTTATTAGGAATATCCCCTTTTATTCAGGAAGTGATCATCGGGTTAGTAATTATTATTGCTGTAGGAGTAAACCAATGGATACAAAAAAAATAAATAAGTGTGTCTAAATTATTTTTATATTGACTAAGAATTAATTGAAAAAAATAATGGAGGTTATTTTATGTGTTTAAAAGGAAAAGTAATGATTATTACTGGTTCAGGAAGAGGAATTGGTAAAGCATGTGCTATTGATGCAGCTTCAGAAGGAGCAAAAGTTGTAATAGCTGAGATTTCTGAAGAAATGGGATCATCAGTTGTCAATGAAATAAAAGAAATAGGGGGAGAAGCAGATTTTGTTCAGACTGATGTTTCAAATTTAGTTGAATTGAGTGCAGCAATAAAATTTGCTGCTGAAAGATATGGACGATTAGATATTATATTAAGCAATGCTGCAATAGTTATAAACAAACTTGCTCATGAACATACAGAAGCTGACTGGGAATCTCTTATGGCAGTAAATGCAAAATCTTATTTTTTTGGAGCAATATATGCCATTGAACAATTTCGTAAACAGGGAGGAGGAGGTGTTATTTTAAATACCGCTTCAATAGACGCTTTGCAAGGAGATTATGCTTTATCATTATACTCAATGGCTAAGGGTGCTATAGCACAATTAACCCGTTGTATAGCAGTAGAATATGCACGCGAAAATATCAGAGTATTATCTGTCAGTCCAGGTGTAACTCGTACAGAGATGCAAATGGCTGTTATCAATGAAAGTGCTGATCCAGAGAGGAGATTGAAAGAGAGAAATGTTCGTATACCAGCTGGTCGAATGGTCGAGCCTTATGAAATAGCTAAAGTAGTTAGTTTCTTAGCTAGTGATGCGGCTTCAGGAATGACAGGAACAATGGTTGCTGTTGATTTGGGACTAAGTTCTTCTTGGGATTTTCCTTCAGAGGCTACCAAAACTTAAAAATATGTACAAATAAACAAGTGAAATTATTTCATTCATGCTTTGAATACAAGAGGAGGAGATATGGAAAAGATAAAGAGAGCAACAAAGCTTGCTCATGCTGAAGGTCCAACTGTATTACCAGATGGAAGAGTTGTATATTGTCATTGTTACCATGGATCACTTGGAGTTTGGTCACCAAATGGTTCTGTCAGCGAGTTTGCCAAAGTTGGTGGAGGTCCCAATGGAACAGTTCTTGGAAGTGACAATCATGTATATGTCGCTAATAATGGTGGAGCTGTAGGTCCGTTTCGCTCAAAAGATTTTGGGCCAGGATTTATTCAGAAAGTTTCTTTTGATGGAAATTCAAAAATTGTTGCTAAAGAAGTGAATGGTCACAAATTAAATATGCCTAATGACCTAGTCTTTGGAAAAGATGGTCGACTATATTTTACTGATCCAGGTAGGTGGGATGCAGAGAATCGACCGGATCCAGGAAATATTTTTGTTTTAAATCAAGATGGTACTGGTGAATTGTTAATAGATGTTGGAAATAATTATCCAAATGGGATTGTAGCTGAAGAAGATGGCAGTATTGTTTGGGTTGAAACATATACACATATGGTTAGACGTTTAACTACTGATGGCAATATAGAAGATATCACAAAACTTCCTGAAAACGCATGGCCTGATGGATTAGCTATTTCAGAAAATGGAGACTTATATATATCTACACTTTCTTCTGGTGGAATTCATATAGTATCGCGTGATGGTAAATCAACAAATTTTATAGACCTTGAGGGAACAGTTCTATCAAATATAGTCTTTGAAGAAAATAAAGTCTTTGTAACTGATATGGGTGGACCAGCAGGTGTAACTGATTATGCCGTTGAAACTGGGATACTTTGGGAACTTGTTGGTATGCCAAAAGGTATGCCTATGTTTCGAGGAGAAATTTCAGAGTTATAGACTTGTGGAGAAAATATACTATATTTGATCCCTGCATATATTAATTATTACATATACTCGAGTAATTAGAAGAAAGATAATTTCGGAATGGTTCTCTCTTTGTAGCTTACATGTATTAATTTTACTCGTTTGGGAAATAGAATATATTCATTTGTCCTTTTATGTACAGGAGTAAAAAGCAGGAGCTATGAAGATAGGTATAATTGCAGATGATATAACCGGTTTACATGCAATTGGAGGAATATTCGTTTCTTTTGGGTTTAAGTTTACTACTTTGATAAAAGAAGTAAACTACACGGGTGAGAATGTCATTTTAGGTATCGACACTAATACGAGAAGAAAAGATATAAAGGAAGGGGAAATATCAGCTAAGGTCGTTGAAGCTGTAAATATATTAAAGGACAAAGAAGTTGATTTTATTTTTAAGCAAACAGATTCATCAGGGTATGGTCATATTGCAATGGAAAGTATTGCATTAGCTGAGTGTCTTAATCAGCATATAATTTATTATGCTCCGGCTTGTCCTTCAAAAAATAGGATGACTATAAATGGATTTCAGTATCTGTATGATACGAACCCGAGTCACAATGGTATTAATTTATATAACCTTTGGAAAGATTTCCCAGAATGGTCTGTTTCTTCTAAAGCTATTGAAGGACACTCATTAGTAAATTTTCATGAAAATAAATCTGTCTACATTCTTGATGCACAAACTGATGATGAACTAGATAGTTTAATATCAATTGCAAGTCAGAGAAATAGTAATTTTATAGTGGGTAGTGTGGGATTGGCCTATGCGCTCGCAAGAAGATTATGGTTAAAAAACCTAGAATTTATTCATCCACTATTATTAGTTATGGGTAGTTTTCGGACTTCTGCAAGAAAACAACTTGCTTTCATAGATAAGGAGAAATTCAAACGATTTAGTGTTAGACTAGATGAATTTGAAGAAGATAACGTTTCTCAAAGTATAATTGAATGTATAGAATCAAAAAAATCTTGTGTCATCTTCACAGAACAATCTCATCCAGTTAAAACCAGTGTCCATTTGAAATTGACAAAATTATTACTCAGAGTATTACGTAATATTCATCATGGAGTTGGTCATCTCATAAATGGATATGTTGTTATTGGAGGTACAACAACAGAGATTCTTTTGAGAGATGTTTTAGATATCCAATATCTAGAGATTAAAAAAAAGATTTCCGAAGCTAATATAGGTTCTTTGGCATTTACAAAAAATAACTGCATACCAGTTGTAACTCAAGCTGGAGCATGGGGACAGATTGACAGCATTGTTAAAGGTCTACTTTGGATTTCTTCGCAAAAATTTGATAAAAAGGATGAAAATGAAATTTATTGAGATAGTTAAAGCTTATGCATAAAGTAATTATAGGAATCACTATGGGCGATCCAGCTGGTATTGGGCCAGAAGTCGTAACAAAAATGCTCGCAACAAGGCAACCAAATGATGATCATAAATTTATTATTATTGGAGATAGCGAGGTAGTTCGTAAGAAAGTAAGACAATTAAAACTTAGAACAGGTGTTTCTGTTGTCAGAAATAATATAGCTAAAGAAATTTTTTATCCAGGAAAATTAGTTGTATATGATACAGGTACTGTTGCAGCAAAAACTATAAAACCAGGTGAAAAAAGCAAATTAACTGGAGAAGCTTCAATGCTTTATAATCGGGAGGGAGCTTCTTTAGCATTGTCAGGAGAAATAGATGGTTTGCTTACCGCTCCTGTTACAAAACAGAGTGTGAAAATGGCAGGGTATAACTTCCCAGGGCAAGCAGAATATTTTGCTTATCTCTCTGGCGAACTAGAATTCACAACTATATTAATTTACAGAAATTTTGTCTCAGCATTATTTACAACACATTTACCTTTGGTTGATGCTTGTAGAAAAATAAAAAAACAATCATTGATTAGATATTTTGAATATCTTCACAACAAGCGGTTTGATTTTGGTAAACCTGATTTATCTATTGGAGTTGCATCTTTGAACCCTCATAGTGGGGATGGTGGTATGATGGGAATGGAAGAAATAGATGAAATAATTCCTGCTGTTAAGGAAGCTCGTGAATATGGGATAAATGTTAGTGGCCCATATCCTGTTAATGGAATTATTTCTCCTCCTTATAATGGACGAAATTTTGATTTAGTTGTAGCACTGTATCATGATCAAGTTGTTTCTAGAATGAATATGCAGGAAACTACTACTTGGACATTTGGGTTGCCATTTATCAGGACATCCGTTGGTCATGGATCAGCGCTCGATATAGCTGGTAAGGGGATTGCTGATACAAAGGCAATTACAATTTCACTTGAACATACCATCCAATTAGCAATAGATAAAAAAAGAATAAATTCTAACAGAGAAAATGTATTGTCCGGAGGTTTGAATGAAAAATAATATTAGAAAATTTCTAGAGAAAATACAATTAAAAAAAAATAAAACAATAATATTGTTGAGTGATGCTGAGAAGCTTATTTATGCACATGCTTGCTACCCTTTAGAATATAAGTGGTTATTACAAGGTAAGTACAAATATCTTCCAAGCGCTATTATTATGCCTTCCTCAACTGATGAAACCAGTAATATTATGAAATTGGCAACTGAGTTTAAAGTGGCTACTACTCCCTATGGGGGAGGATCAGGGATAGTTGGTGGAAGTATCCCTGATTCCGGTGAAGTGTTTATTGATTTAAAACGTTTAAATAAATTAAACATAAACAAGATAAATGGCACTGCTCTTGTTGGAAGTGGAATGCCAGGGGCTATGCTTGAAGATTGTCTAGCAGAGGAAGGCTTTACTACGGGTCAATTTCCTCAGTCCTTCCAAAGTGCATCAATTGGTGGAATGGTAGCTACCCGAGCGGTAGGTACTTTTTCTACTAAATTTGGCAAAATGGATGATATGGTTAATTCTTTAGAAGTTGTTTTACCGAACGGAGAAATCTATCGAAGTCATTCAACCCCTAAAGCTTCTTCTGGCCCTAATCTTGATGAATTATTTCTGGGTAGCGAGGGTGTTTACGGTCTTGTTACTGCTGTAGAAATAAAAATTTATCCAAAAGCTGAGAAGAAATATTTCGAAGCTTTTACCTTCCCATCTACAGAGAAAGGATTGGAAACTATAAGACAATTTGTTCAGTTAAATATTAAACCAGCAGTAGTTCGTTTGTATGATGAAGAAGAAAGCAAAAAAAAAATACAACAATATCATTTCGAAAAGGGTTCTTCGCTTCTGATCGTTGGTTATGATGGTCTGGAAGAACAAATTCACTTGGAAAGAAAATACATTAAAAAATTTTGCGAATCCAATGAAGGTTCATATAAAGGGACACGACCAGGCCTAGACTGGTACAAAACACGGTTTTCAACCAAGAAAATGTTAGACTATGATGCCAAAAAAGGTGGAACTGCAGATGCAATTGAAGTTGCAGCACCATGGGACTGCATTATAAATGTGTGGAGAGAAATGCGAAAAGCGCTTGAACCTTTATGCGAGAGTGTAGATTGTCATTTTTCCCACGTTTATCATACAGGTGCAAGTGTTTATGTTATTTTTCACTCTAAAACAAATGGGGATGATTATGATGGTGAGATTCGTTATAAGAAATGCATTGATATTGCAATTAAAACAAGCATAAAACACGGAGGAAACATTTCGCATCACCATGGAGTTGGTAAGGCAAAGGCTGAATTTATGAATCAGGAACATGGGGATACAGGTCACTCATTAATGAAGACAATTAAATCAATTATTGATCCTAATGAAATCTTAAACAAAGGAGTTCTAGGTTTATGAATCAACTATTAATGTCAGACTATGAGGATAAATTAAATTCACAAGTAATTCATATGGATCAAGCAGTTTGTTATAATCCAGAGTTTCGAGCTACAAAAATGATGCATGACTATCCATCTAGAAAGATGCAAATAGCAAGAGCTCTATTTAAAAATGAGCTTAAACCTAATGAAGAAATAGTTCAAATAATATTTCAATCTATTCTTTCAAGACAAGGAGAACGTTGGCAAAA